TTGAAAGACCGTTTTTCTTCTACACAAAGAAAAGCATTTTCACTCTTACAGCTTTACCCGAATACGATGAACAAACTGGACAAAGCGTCATATCTTGAAGTTTTAGAAGATTAGTTTTATATGTACCATGTATATAACTGCTCTTATCAAATTTCATCACTGAAGCTACAACGTGGTACGAAATGTGTAGGAATAGAGAAAATTCTAACGAATTCCTCGAATACATCGATTTAGTTATTGAGGCCACACTGTTTTATCCAGCTGTAGAGGAGGGAATCAAAATTGGCCTAACTCTTCCAGGTACTACGTGCACTATTGAACGCACTTTCAGTACAATGCGAAGCATCAAAACATAGAATCGGTCTACAATGTCCACGAGAGATTAAGTAGTTTGTGCATGTTCAGTGTGCATAAGAAAAGAATCAAAGATAACTCAGAATTCATTGAAAACGTTATATACATATTTGGACAGCAAACAACACGATTATAGTTCTTGTTTGATTAAACAATTCCTTAAATGTTTATGTATCAATGATTACTTACTTATCTGTTTATTAATAAAAACAATTTTAATAAAAAATTTTATAACAAAATTTTTTTTCTGTATCTCTTTAACTGTTTTTTAAAAGAAAAGCCAGGGGGGTGCAAGTGCACCTCCTTGCACCCCCCTGCCGGTGCCCTTGCAACTGGGTGAGCTTGTACAAGTAAGACGTTAATGGTGTAAAATTTCTATTTTCGGGTCCTTTTCAAATGCAATTTCTTACAATAAATACTATAAAACGTAAAATTAAGCTAATTTACGACAATAAAAGTTCTTTTTTAGTTGCGCACGAACAGCCAGCTTAGTGCGTACGAAGAGCCGCAATAGTGGCGTACAATATGCCATCGTCCTATTTTCAAGGAAAACTTCCGAAATGAATCGTCCTGTATACGTAAATTTCAACCCAGTATAAGAATTTTCATTATTTCAGGGAATGCTCATTACCTGTCTGCCAATGCTCCGGTGACAGGTGTACCGATGAGGCCTCCAACATTCTGCAGAGTGAGAACGAGGCTCGGATAATGGCTCTCTCTACACACCATATTCCACTAGAAGAAAAAAACATCTTTTATTTTGCTGTTGTTTCCAATGCCACTTGCTAATATCAGCAAGCCTGCATGGTTAAACCAAGCGAATTTAAGGCAGTGGGTGCTTTTCTTGTTTTTCAGAGGCTCCACTTCAGTCACACATTACGCCATAGCCCGTTTATTGGCAGGGCCTGATTATAGCCTAGGCCCAATAGGCATGGGCCTAGAGCCCACAATTTCTGAGGGGCCTCAAAAATCAGTAAAAATGCTAATTAAAGGTGGGCTAACTATGTCTTGATTTAAGTACTAAATAATAAATAATTCAGCTAATCAGTGACTTTTAGCAAAAATCACTGATTTCAGTTGTTTGTGGTCACCAAACTATTTTGGCATAACATTGTATTGTTTATATTTTGCTTTAATTTATAGTTAGGTAAACTTTTTCTTAGAAAAATAATCTTCAATTGTCTGCTTTTAAAATTTCTTAGAATGTTTCTCTTGAATCATGCAGTCTAATGGATTCTTTTTCATTATTAGGACTACTCTTCAGTAATTTAATTTCAAAATATTTTGTAAGGGGCCCAGAAAATTTGGTGGGCCTTGGGCCTGAATTTATCTTGATCAGTCCCTGTTTATAGGGCGGACTCATTTATACATCCATTCAATCACCACAGATCATAATTTTGACCTGAACCAGAGAACGATTATTCTCCGATTCAGTACTTTCAGAGTTATAATTTGTTATGGGAACACGGAAAACTTGGTGTCCCGACGGATTTAACTTGCACCAGTCACCATTTACTACACGGGAGTCCTCAACTGACGGGGATCGAATTCATGACCGCTTGAACATGGGCCCAACAGCCTACCAACCAGGCTGTCCCGGCCTTTATATTTTTTTTGGCTAGCTTAGAGAAAGAGTTAACCAAACGGAATGTTAAACGGTTAAAGAGAGAAAAACGGTTTATTTCCATATTTCACAAAAAAGGAAGAAAAATTGGATTGACATCTGTTGTTGTTGCATTTTTAAAATTGAATATAATCAGCAGTCTGAAGGAATTCTGTAGTCGCTACTTTTTTCTGTAGATTGTAGTGTAGTGAGAAGTTCGATACTAGTTTGTAGCGATTTCTGCCAATTACTTTTAAAGCTAGTTTAGAATATTTACACGGTTCTAACGCAACTCATTTCTCGCGGGTGGAGGCAATGAAAATGACTCAGCAGTTGAGCGTTAATAGAAATTACGGACTTAAAATAACTAATACATAAACTAGCCATTACGAAAAGTAGATAATTAATCACACTTTTATATGCGAATGCAGACTCGTGAAACATTGTAGTTATTTCAAAGGAAGCATTTATTTTCTTAGAGGAAATAGAAGAGCATTGAAAAATTAAAAAATATTTGTTGGCGATGCATTTCTTAAATTAAATATTCGCTATCGAAAAGGGCATAAAAAACTGAAGTTTAAATGAACAAATTCTGAAAAAAAGAATGTTTTGGAATAACAAACTGGCTCATGTAAACATGAATAAATAATTCTTAATTATTTTCTTATATTTAATGCAAGCCAATTTCTTATTTAAATCCATTTTGAACATTGGTGTAAATTAAGTTCTCCGGCAAAGTTCGTCTCTATAAAGCAGTGTAGTAATCACTAAATTCCAAAGTATAGTTTGTAGTCCCTTCATTAAAAAAAAAAAGTTTCAGTTGAACTACGGGAGTCGTTGCTCTTACGGAAAGACTGCATTTAGACAAACGAAGACCAAGAAAAGTATTTATTTATTGAATGATTTAATTGTTGTAAAATCACAAGATTTGTTTCTAAATTTTAGCTATACAGTTCTTCAAATTTGCATTCCATGTTCATGTTTTTAGTTCGAAGGTAGGCCTAAACAGAAAACAACATCTAACAGCTATTAACAGTGTGCTTGTAGCTTTGTCTTTGTAGTATAAATCACGTAAACATAACCTACAGATACGTAGCATCTAAAATAAACGCGAGTATTCGTAATTCCATCCATCTTAAGTCGGCAGCGTAAGTAAAAGTGCGAAATCTCCCTAATAACAAATTACACGGGAGAAACTTTTTTAACAATAAAAATTGGTTTTTGAGGCAATTCTGGGCACATTTTTTTTTAACTTTCTTAAAAAAATGCTTTCTTTTGTTTTATTTATTTATATTAATAATTAACTTATTTTTTCTCGCATTATTTATTCATTTTTTTTGTATATTATTTTGTATATAAACAAAACAAAAAAATCCACAAGCCGTTATGGAACATTTTAAGAACTTTTAATTGAGAACACATTTGCGATACGACTAAAAATGTTTCTTAGTTATTTTTTAAAATTTATAATGAATAAAAATAACCTTGTATTTCATTCGTTACTAGCATTCAATGTAGTTTAAATAATTGCACATGTTAATATTGCATACTTTCTCTCTTTATTTATTAACCCTTTAATAAGGCAATATTTCTCTAGTAATATTAAGAAAAGAAAGTAGAGAAAAACAATAAGTTTTATTTACTGCTCATCAGCTGCAAGTAAGTAAAACTCATAAAATAAGTTCAAAATGTAGAAAAAGCATGGAAAAAATTACAGACCAATGAAAAAAGGGGGGACGAAAAATAATTATAAAAAGTAACAGGAAACCGAAAAAAAAAATCCGAAAGAAAGGAAACAAAATTAATAAAGAACCGGAACGCCGGGCACATTTCCGGTTTTTTATTAATTGTTTTTCGGTTTCTTGTTATTTTTATTATTATTTTTCTTTCCCTACCCTTTTCCATTGTTCTATAATTTTTTCCATGCTTTTTCTACTTTCTCAACTTTTACTATATATATATATATATACTTTATTTACATCGTACTAGAGCTGCACAATGGGCTATTGGCGACGGTCCGGGAAGCAGCCCTGAGGATGATCCGAAGACATGCCATCGCAATTTTGATCCTTTGTAGAGGGGAGATAGCTTCCCTGCTTTGGTAGCCCGACGACCTGCTCGCGAAGTCGAGCACTTTACCATAGAACAGTTTAACGATACCGCGCACTTTCGGTCCCTACGCAGGCTGAACAAAGTGGCCATCCACCCTCCTATTGACCTCCAGCCAGTGATGCTGCTTGACTTCGATGTTCTACTGGGATCTTTACGATAGGTTCACTGAGGGACACAACTATTTATAAATCATACGCTGATAACGTCATTTATTCAATGTATTATGCAATCAAAAAATTATACTTTTAAATTCTTGCTATTTCTTTCATCATTTACATTTCGTATAGTCACTGAATAATTAAATAAATTATTGGTTTAAATAAAAAATCACTTACCTGTGACGCTGCTGTCACTTCAAAATATGTTGTGTCATACTCCCAGCCATTCAGACATTCTATAGTTTCTTCTGTGGTATTCTGTAGCAACGCTGAATAGTTCCGCATCAGGCATGAGGGATCTTCTGGTGCCTCCACCACACCCCGCCTCTCCACAGCAGTCATATTCATGAGGGGGCTATCCCCAGGCACATTGCACCAATGGTCGGGCACAGTGAGAATGAAGATCAGGGCCATGCTCAAGGACGAGTTTAGAAAATAAAGAGGTGCGACGAACAAAAAAAGCAGATTCCTTTGGAAAGGGCCATAACCACCCACCTCTTGAAGGATATCTTCGAATTCCATGATGACCGGTAATATTTTTCCAACGAGGATATTCTATTTATTTCACTTAATTCACTCGGTTCATTTAGTTTTAATATTTAGAACGCGGATGTAACTTAATTATGGAAGATGAATTCGAGAGGTTCTTAACAAGTTTCAGTTTAATAGCTGACTAGTTCATAAACCAGGTGTCTACAAATTATGAAGCAATGGGTTTCGGTAGTTCATAAACCAAACGTTTACAAATCATGTATAGTTTATTTAATACCGCGTTCATAAACAAGGCGTTCACACGCCTTGAAAAGCCGTAAGACGAAAAGACAAAAACTCTAAAGAATCATTATCAAATATTTTAATGTAAATGAATGCTGCTAAACTTTATCGCTGAAACTGAGGGGAAAGAATGTTTTACTCTTCCCCCCTTTTTTTTATCACTAGACTCATAATTTTAAAAGATTGTTATCTGAGTTTAACTTGTTGCAAAATTGCAATTGTGTGCTCTTTTTATTTTAGTTTTTAAAAAGAAGAATGAAGACGTTCGAACTCGGACTCTTCACAGAATGATTTACACTAACGAAGATTATGAGAAATTTTTCAAGTATAATTTATTCGCGTTGACAGCAGACGACATTTCTGCTTTTATTTTTTTGTTAATATATCTTATTGCAGTACAAATGAAAGAGGGTATAAGTATGAAATACGGGAGGTCATTCAAATATTACATATTTTTGACAATTTTGGACTCCCCCCCTTCTTGTCAGCTAAAATAGACTCATCACAAAAATCCCTCAAACTTAAGTAAGAATCATCCCCTCGTGTTTTTTTGCGTTTATTGTTTTTTGATTTTTATTGTAGTAAGCTAATTTTAGGATATAATTAAAATAAAAAAAAGTAACTTTGCACAAAACAAATTGAACGTTTTCAATGCATTTAATTAAATTTTTAGAAAATATTCTCCAATAAATTTTTTCCTTCCCCGTTAAAATCAAAATTTCTGATGGTTTTCCACTGATGGACCAACATAANAAGAATCCCCCCCTCGTGTTTTTTTGCGTTTATTGTTTTTTGATTTTTATTGTAGTAAGCTGATTTTAGGATATAATTAAAATAAAAAAGTAACTTTGCACAGAAAAAATTGAACGTTTTCAATGCATTTAATTAAATTTTTAGAGAATATTCTCCAATAAATTTTTTTCCTTCCCCGTTAAAATCAAAATTTCTGATGGTTTTCCACTGATGGACCAACATAATCCTGATGATAGTCATCATGAATCACTATAATTTTTGATGGTAACTAACATCAGTAACCATCACTCCAATGTAGGAATTCGGACTGATTTATGATGAATACATAAGAATAGCAACTTATTTTGATGGTTTCTACATGTTGAATCATTAAAAATTTCCATCATAGTTTCTTAGAAATCAAATGTTGGAATGATTCTGAACAACCATCATCCTACTATAGGAATTGGGACTGATATGTGATGGGTTAACATAAAAAAAAATGGTATTTTTAAGAGAACCAAAGAGAATTCCCATTAAACCATGGAAATTCATAATTGGAACCATCATGAACCAATGGTCCATGAGAATCAAACTTGTCTTGATGGTTAACCATTATGGCATTGAAGTACAGGGGAATGATGGAAGTTTGCTGGCATATCAAAAAGCATGAATGCATAATGTTGGACCATCATGAATCGCACTGAAACCAACATAAACCATCAAAATGTTTTGATGGGATCATCAAGAATTTTGACTTCCGAATGCATGTAAAAAATTTTTGATACATTATTGCATCCGACTAACCTTATAAAATTTCTTTTGCAGATACATTGGTTTAGACTTGGGGGAATGATTCTCAGTATTGTGATCTGCTTTCCGATTACCGTGTACTGCCAGGATCAAAATTGGAATGGACATTACTATCAGCATTATTCACCCAGTTCAATATGGGTTGCACAAAACCACAACAATCGAGGAGGAGATCTGGAGTTGCAAAGTTCAATGAATAGACCATCTTCCAGGTTTGGAAGAATGCCTTGGAAAAACCCACAGTCCAAACCACAGTGGCAATCTCCAATGTACAAGCGAAAATGGCAAGATTCGCTTTCAAAACCGCAATGGCAACTATCGAAAGCACACCACATGAAACCGTTTATGAAACGACCCTTTAAGAATTCGAACTCACTAAACAAACAGCCGCATGACCAATAGAGTGCAGGACCTAAAGACTGACAAGGAAGATTTCGAACTAAACCTAATGGCATATTTTTCCGACAAACTACACCCCAACCCAGAAATTGGCCAGATTGCATTCCTCCACTTTCCATTATAAAACCATCTATGGATGATCCACATGCACTCTACAACTTCAAATAATAATTATTCATCAAAAATGAGGCAAAACATTTATATGGTTTAAGCAAATTCTCATTTGTTAGTGTACGATAAATATATCTGCAAGAAAGTATTTTAAAACAAAATCGAAGCTTTTTAGTACATATATGAATATATACGATCTGTCTAACTAAAGAATTTCCCTCGCCACAGCTTGAGCACAGTCTATGACTATGGTTACGAGTTAAAACTATTTCAGGTAAAAGTAAAGCAGGTTTTGACTAGAGTCAGTGAGGGAAGTAGGCAAGAGCCGAACCTCTTTCAAAAAGCGTTTCTTGTTTCCATAGCAACAGGACAGATGCAAGCGCTTTGGCGAGAAAGTTTTTAGATTGGGCAGATCGAAGCTATTTGGAGAGTGTTTTTCTCCCCATACTTTGAGGTGAAATTAATGTTCCTATTTTGAGCTGTAGAAATTCCATATTTTTAAACTCAATATATGAAAAAGAGTTCTACTTGGGGATTTTTAAGAGATCACGGTACCGGAAAGTGTCTAAATCATTGAAACAATTTTTTATTGCTCTCATTTAAGTTTTAACTCACTGAAAAAAATTCCATGGCTTTACCTGAATCTTTAATGTTATGACGAATTTTGAACTAAGAAAAGAACAACCAGCAAAAAAGAAATTTTGAAATTAAGCTGCAAAAAATTCAGAAAATTGAGTAAAGTGATGTTTTGTCAGAGTAATTTTAAATTTTTCTGACTAAAGAAGGAGTTTGTTTTCTTTTTCGTTATGTAGTTTGCATCTAGGAATGTTTTTAAAATTATTCTTTCAATTATTTACCTTTTTAAGTTTTTTTTAGGTGTTTTGTTATGTATTTCAAATAAAGGAAAGTTTTGTTTTTAAGATTTTGTAAGTCTCTCTTTAATTGAACTAGGCTAATAATGATTATATTGCTCATTATAGGGGAAAAATTTGACGAATCAACTGTACAATGGTTTGAGAATTTAGGTTTAAAAAAAAAGTACAACAGAACACTTTATTCACGAGAAAATTTAACTGACAGCGCTTTATACGTAATGATTTAAATTGCTCTTCAAGTGACAGTTTTTTAGACATTATGATTTCATTTTTATTTTATAACCGTCGTTAAACAGCCGACCTAATTTTTGGGAATTCGTACTGGGACTCCGTAGCCTTGCAATTTTGAACCCTATCCGGAAGACAAGGGAATTCCTGGATCGAGTATTGGGAGAAATTTGCCTTCGTGGAGAAGTTTTTAATGGAACTGACCAGCATTTGCGTTACATAGAGAGGAAGACCACGAGAACCTCCCACGTTTAGCCTAACGGCAAGGAGACTAACCCTTGATCTACCACTGAGGATATTTCACGTTAGCATTCTGATCGGTACAAGCCGGATGGGGAATTCGTATCGACTGGGATTCGAGCCCGGTTCACATCATTGTGAGGCGAACGCTCTATCCCCTGAGCCATTAGGGTTCAGTATATTGTAATTATCATCGAGAGATGCAGAAAGTTTCCCACTATTAACTCATGTGTTGCCACAGAGATGACCAAATGCTCACTTTTCGATGGCATAGATAAACAAATTTTATTTTTCAGCCAGAGATTATTTAAAGCACTCTTAATGTGCATATTTAAGAATTATTTTCAAAGTTGAAGCCATAAAAATGCATTGGTCAGAAATCTTAAAAATATATTGGATTTAAGAAAAAGCAAAACATTTAAAATCTAATGAATCCTTTTTGAGAAAGGTGACCAGACAAGATCAAAACCCGTCTGTTTGCCAGAAAGGAATTGGAATGTGATTATTAAATATATTTTTAATTTAATATGCAAACCAAACTTATCACGATCGCTGATAACTCAGTTTCATCTGATGAAATAAAAGTGAAATTCTCTTCATTTTTGACTTAATTTCTGGGTCGGAAGCAAGCTATATCAAAAAGGTTATATCAAAAAATAAGCATAAACTCATAATTTTCCATCTTAAACTGCGAAGACACTTTATCAGAAAAAAATATTTTCATACTTTCTTTTACAAATGACCAAATGGGAATTTTTAATTGATGAGTCGTGAGTCAGGGCGCAAAAATTATATATTTAAATATTCAAATAATTTCCAATCAAACTAATGTACGACCCAAATAATGATATGAAAGCGCATTAATTGTTTCGAAAATTAACTAGTGTTCGAAGTAAAGCATCAACTTTGTAAATTTATGAGGAAAACAATAGTATTTCTCAATTTAAAAAGAACGGAAGAATTCATTTTTAGACGACAACTTCCGAATTGGAAAAAGCTAATCAGAAGATGTTAATAAAGTTTAATCAAATAGTTTAGATCTTAAAGTGTAAAGACGGCTTTTTCAGAAGAAATGTATTTCATTTGATTTAAACAACCAAAGGAAAATTTCAATTAAGCAAATAACGAGATAGAATTTTAGACAAACAAAAATAATGGGAAAAAAGTATTTATTGATTGAAAAACTAACTCGTATTTGAAATAAAGCATCGAAGCTTGCAAAGGGGACAAATTGACTAAGACTGAGTTTAGAAAGTTCAGTATGGAAGAAAATATCCTAACATCGTTTTTTGTTTTACAGTGCAGGTAAGTGTGCATTGCAGGTACATATTTATGCATTTTTAAAGAGCTTTTAATATTGAATGAGCGCACAAATTGCTAATTTTTATACCTTAATTTAATTTTTTAAAGGAGAGGTTAAAAATAATAACAAACTAATGTAGTTTAAAGAGAAAATTAAATTTCCTTAAAATATAGATTTGATAAAATCTGCAGTTTTTGAAGATATTAAAAATTTTCAGTAACACCTGAACTACTCAAAACTGATAAAAGTTCCCTCTTAACCGACCTTTAGTTAAGTTTGAAAATCTGTTTACAAATTTGAATTTATGTTGAACTATGTAAGAAATTAAATCTGAAATGTTTGCTGAAAATTTAACTCAGAGCTTCACAAGAAATAATTTATGAAAAGGATTTTATGAGATTAAACA